AAAACAGATTGTCCTCCAACCTCCTTCGTTTACGAAACCCATTTTGTAGTTCTCCCAGCACCCCCTCATTCTTCACTCATGCCTGTAGTCATGGGTTCTTCACCCATGACTATCTGCAACACCAGTCTGTAAATTACTGATGTCACTGTTATAGTACGGTAGTTGCTTATGTCAGCTCTGTCTCCCTTTCCTTTGTAGATCATGCTCATCCTGCTTAGTTTCCACCCATTGGGAGCTTCAACATTCATTATTGCTTTGCTCACTGCCTCTCTTATCGTTTGCCTATTGTTTGGTTCTAGTTTTTTTATTAGCATAATTGGGATGCCGTCAGGGCCTGTTGATGTGCTATTAGGAACACCCTTCTCTGACCTTTCCCACACTCGTTGTCCCAGTGCGCTAATTGGCCCATCCTCATCCGGTATTGTGCATGCAGCGCTTCCTTGGTGTTTAAAATTTTCTTTCATCGTCGTTCGTATACAGTCTATTACCTCATTCTCTTCTAGCCTGACCTCTGAAACTGTAGTTTTAAACCTCTGTTCGATGCTTGTATTATTACGGAGGAAGGGTAGGCATGTTCCCTGGGCAGCGCTGGCTTCCCATTCATGGAGGACACTTATCTCTGTGGGCGTTAGTATATTGCCGGGAAAGATTTGTTAAACCTGGTGCTTGACACTGCCAAGTTTAGGCAGCTTCCTCAGGCGGAAGTGAAAAAGTGAAGCTGGTGTCACACCTTTCTCTTCTATATTGGGACGTGGTGCGGTTGTAGTTCTTGGTCGAAGCTCGTGCGAGAACCTTCATATCACCCTAGTCTCTATGACGTCATGTGTGTCGTCTGTGCGCGAATGTCACGTACAGAAAAAATTCGAGCATTATGCACTAGTGGCCACGTTTCTTCGACAACGAACTCCGCGGTTCGCGTTTGCTTGTTATAGTATATCAAATGACTATGAAATGATAATATATACAATTTTTGTGTTTAACGTCTCAAAACCACCATATTATCAAGAGAGAAGCTGTAGTGAAGAGCTCCGGAATTTTCATACTACCTGAAATTTTTTACCGTGCACTTAAATCTAGGACATACGGGCCTCAAGCATTTTCGCCTCCATCGAAAAAGTGGCCGCCGCTGCCGGGATTTGCTCTCGCGACCGGCAGGGTGAGCAACCGAGTGCCTTAGCCACCAGATCACAATGACCTGTGGTCCTGTAAAAATCGAGTATGCTCTCAGACATCCTGCTTAGTTTTCGTAAGACATGATGGAATGCGTGTCAGTCGGCCGACAACAAATAACGCAGAAAGAAAAAAAGGTGTGTGTGTGTGCAACATATTTTTTGAGATTTCTTACTTAATTGTAAAAGAATCAAGGAATTTAATCCCACACATTGGTTAGCTGGATAGGTGTAATCAATATAGCGCTATAATTTTGATATTGTGAGCATTATTCATGCGCATTATTCATGCATTGTATTGTGGCTGCTGTCGATCACGTGACGCGGTACGCAGAGACTGCTGCACTACGCACAAGTTCTGCTCCAGACGTCCCAGACTTCTTTCTCAACACTATTGTATTGCGTCACGGTGCACATCGCGTCCTCCTGAGTGATTCGCTGCAAAACGTTCCTGTCCACTATAACCGAAACCCTGCTCACAACCTGTGGTACAGTACATGAGGCGACGTCAGCCTACCACCCCCAAACTAATGGGCTGACAGAGAGATTTCATCGGACATTAACACACATGCTATCGATGTACATCGCACCAAACCACGACAACTGGGATACGATTTTGCCTTTTGTGACGTTTGCCCATAACACCGCTGTTCAAAGAACTACTGGCTACTCGCCTTTCTACCTCGTGTACGGCCGTTCACCGACATTCACCATCGACGTCTCTTTCCTAAATGTTCCAACTGACGCCTCAGCAACCGTATCAGAGCAGTTCACCACAAGGCTCGAGGAATGTCGGCAACGGGCTCGTCTTAATACAGAAGCCAATCAGCAAGATCGCAAACAGCGCTACGACAGCTCTCATCGCGACGTCTCCTTCAGTCTGGGGGATGAAGTGTTGCTTTGGACACCCATTCGTACTCCAGAACTGTGCGATAAACTTCAGTCACGCTTATATAGACCCTATACAGTCAATGAACAAACGTCACCAGTCAACTGCCGTGTCACTCCCAGCAACCTTTCTTCGGATCGTCGCTGTCGTGGTTCGGAGATTGCCACGTATCGCGTCTGAAGCCATTCGTTCGACGTTCCGTTTCCGTCTGAGACGCGTCCGGACTGGCCGTTGACGCGTGGGAGGGAAATAGGTGTGAGCATTATTCATGCGCGTCACCTTGTCATATGTACATACTCATCATCATCAGTCGGACCTGTGTTGTGGGGCAGAGGCTCGGCAAGTAAAAGAAGTGTCTTGCAGCCAAAACGTTGCCTTACAATATGAAGATGGATTTCTGCACAGAATAAGTGTTCTGATAAAACATCTTCCACTAATTCAATCTTGTAGAAATCATTGGGCAAACGCAGTGGAAGTATGTATTAGTGAAGTGATAGACGAACAGTAAAAAAGTTTATTAAAGAGAATGACATTATTTTGGGCCCAGGAAGTATTGGTATGTGCTATAAAGCGTCAGCATTTCAGTTGCGCTAAACAACAAGCTGGCCATGTAATGCTAGTCGGTCATAGTTTTCAAGACTGCTTTTTTGGGTATAAAATTGCCTCAGCTAGTGATAACGGTTAGTCATTATTGTTACAGAAACTATGAATAATATGTGGGGTTTAACATCCCAAAACCACTATATGATTATGAGAGACGATTGTTACAGAAACTAACAAAAAAATGTAGGCTATTCAGTCGGCAATATGTAGTGCTCCTAATCACACGTGTGGCGTTAGCAAGATAGACTACATGTAATTTCTTACTTTTACGAGTACACCAATCCACGGAGCGGCTCTTTGCAGCTTAAGGCTGGTGCACACCGGCGACTAGCCGCGGTCGCGCGACCATTTGCGACTGGTCGCAAGCAGTCGCGAACGGTCGCAAACGGTCGCAAAGCGACTGTTTTGGCCAGTCGCTTCCTGACCGATTTTTTGGTCGCGCGACTGCAGTCGCAAAACACTTTAACCAATCAGCGAAGACCAGAAGTGACGTCAGCCTTTGTTTACATCTGGCCACCTCGTACGTTATTTTTTTTTCTCGTTGCGCTTGCCTACTGCCGTGAGGTACGAACGACACGTACGTTCCTCCGTGGATTTTTCCTCGCATCAGACGAATGCCACCACGGCCAGCTTTAAGTACTCGGCCGAGCTCCTCATCGACGCGATTAAAATGTACCCATATCTGTATGACAAGCGGCACCCTTTTTTTAAATATCGGACAAAGAAGGACCGGGCTTGGGCAGAGATCGGAAGCATGTTCGGCATGTCGAGTAAGTACCGAGATTTTTTGTTTCAGTAGCTATATAAGCAAGAACAGGTGTGTACTGCATGGCTGGCGTTGCCAATGAATGAACAATGAAAATATTGGTATTTGTACTGCAAGGTTTTAGTTTGCATGAGATGTATTGACTGTGATGTATGCGAGCGCAGTTGTGTGCACGTTTGTTCTCGCGACTTTCCGAGTTTAACATCGAAATCGACATGACAGAACATTGTATAGCTGATAATAAAGCTCAGACGTTCGAAATACTGCTCGCAGTTGCCAACTCACCTAGCGCATGCTCCTTGCTGTGTTTGTACGTCATCGTCTGGCCAAGGGAATGTGTGCTTTTGTGAACGTGCGGCATTTGCAATGCATAATATCTAGTGCGCGGTGAGGGAGGGGGGGGGGGGGTTACGCTTTAATTCTGCCTATGCATTGCAGTTGTGCTGTTTTAAAAAAGAATGCAAAGTAGCTTCTGCTTTGAGCGCATTTTGTGCACTCCATAGAGGAGCGTGTAATTAAGACATACAAAACATGTTTAGCAGCACTCTCAAATGTCCGGATTTGGGAGTCAGACATGCTGTTAATGCCAAGTGACATGCAATCGTAAAAAAAAAAAAAAGATATGGTAGTGTTCTAGGGGCTGGGCGAACACTGAAGGAAAGCACAGATGGGGGAATTTATTCCTCTGTAATGTGGCCCATATCTAATCCTCATTTCTTCACAACTGTTGCTTTCCTCTCCTGTGTTTTTGTCTGTTGGTGCCTTTATATTTCGATTATTCCTTTATTCCCAGAGGTTATATCTCTCCGCTTCCAACTGTGCTTCGTTTTGTTTGTTTTCTTTGTTCCTATATTTTAAAGTCAATTTTTCATGTCTGCTTCTATGTGTTGGTATGTTTTCATGTTTTGGTCCCTTTATTTTCTTATAATTTCCTTCCTCTCGCTCTCTCTATGTTACACTTTGAGTCATATACTATGTTTGTTGCATTTCTTTCTCTCAAAAATTGTCATCTTGCTCTAGTTAGTTTCATTCTTCTTTTCAAGTTGTTTAACATGTTTGCTTTTGTTTGACAACAATCGCTCCCGCTGTACACGACAGTTTCGCTTGGCCGATACCAATGGTATATACTCACCTGTGGAGTTTTGCACAATGCAGTAATGCTTAGAAAGTTTCACTCTGAAGGTGATAAAGACATCATGTGCTGGTTCATGAAATAGACTTTTTGCAAGTGAACTTCAATTGCCGAAGGTATAAACAGCCTCTTTGTTACAATAGCTTGGCAGACATGCTTACCTTCAAGAAACAGTGTACATAACTCTTTGCGCAACTAATCATTGCGTCAGCTGTGATGTCGTGCACATGTAGGTGGACGGTCGAAAACACCAGGTGGGTGGCATTTCTGGAACCCTCGGCTGCAGGTTCCCTCAATCATGGGCAGAGATTTTGCAATGTTTAAGCCCCTACCAATACTTAAGTTTAGATGGCATCAGATTCATTTTGATGCCCAATATTCAGATTTCTAGGGTGCTGCAGCCGAAATGATCTGGGCAAAGAAAATAAAGACCGCTCACAATTGTGCTGAAATAAAGTAGAAAATTTATCAGCAATACAGTATGCACAATACATTCTTACAGCAAGGGTTTTGTTTCCAGGTGTCCTTGTTGAGAAACGATTTAAGAACCTGCGTGATATCTTCAAAAGCAAACAACAAGACATACGTGAAAGACAAAGAAGTGGAGCCGGAGCAGCCGACATTCCAACAATAAAATGGCCCCATTTTGAGGCTATGCTTAAATTAATGGAAGGAGAATCTGAGCCTGTGGCTGAAGTTCAGTATTAGTTGACTATTGAGTACTAAACAAAAAAAAAAGTTGATTTAATTCACATGACTGTTATACATACACATAAATACACACATATCAATACACATAAGTACACTGCACATAAACATAGAAGTCCCAAGAGGTAATTCACAGTGGGCATGCATGTGATCATGAACATGGTGGCAATGGGCTGTTTTGATGTCGAGTAATTGTGGCTACAGCTACGAAGAATAACTCTGTGCATCATTCTAGGGTACTGTGCAACATGAGTGCCATCGACCAAAGGTAATGAATAATGCTTACCCTCCATTGAACAGAAAATGAAATGTTTTGGTTAGCATAGCACAATGCATCAGCACAACACAAAAAGTATAGCATACCGTACAAGTAACACGTGGACAGCTTCACAAAACAGAATATTGAAGACAGAACAGTAAGAATGAGAGAATTGAGTGTACTTTCTGTGTCATTCTCGGCTCTCATTTACCAAAAGAAGGAAGGCTTAATACAAAATCTAAAAATCTAAAGAGATCGCTTATTGCATGTGTCATGAGGCTGTTCATAGACAAGCATTGCACATATTCATTACAAGAATGCAGCATAAGTACTTATATTGTAGCAAAACAGTGAAAATGCTCTAAAAATGCAAACAATAGCACTGACAGAATCACATATTGCATGTTCTCTTGCAGCAGCCACATCACAGCAGAAGAGGCTAACGAGAGGTGAGCATACACAAACATTTTCAGTACCATGTGCACGCACTTGAAGCTGTACACGCATGGACTTCAACCCAGAAACATTATTTTTTATTACTAGGTGATTGTACTTTGCAAAATTATGAAAAATACAAGCGTGCTTGAAAGGCGGTGTTCAGGTCGTTAGCTTGCCCAAACCACTGCATCTTTTTAAATACATTCAGCACTCAACACTGAACAAAAGCACACAGGAATACATGAGGGCACAGGCCTTGTTTCTGTGTGAATGTGGTTATTGTACAACGTCAAATATTTCTGAAAAAGCAAAGTATTCATCAGCGACAGGTCGCAATTAAGCAAACTAATGTATTATCTGCATACACTGGCAACACATTCATGTCAATTCGTTATGAACAAGTGCCCAGTGCTGATTGCAATACAAGTGAGCTGAATAATGTGAAGCATTCACTCATTCCTAGCAGTAAAATGATGCTGCAAAAGTCGTATGTAGTATGTGTTCAAGAAACATAATGACAGCAGGCACAGTTTCATCAGACACATTGTTTGCACAGCCATTTAGGATTGACTGTATAAATTTCATTCACATAGCCAGTGAGATATTGTTACGGGGTTAGAGACTTTTGTACAAAATGCGTTTACAGGGGAAAACCCACAGGCAAGATTCACAATGGCTGATTAACACCCTCACGTGCTTATCAGCTGCTTGAGTTCTTCCTCTACCTTTACTTCATCTCCGTGACAATATCTCTTGTTCTCATTTAGATGTGCAACCTACATAGCATTTTATTAACATAATAGGCACATTAAACTTCTGTATGCACACCTTCCATACAGCAGTGCTCAATCAAGAGGTAACGCAAGTGTAAAATAAACCTCGTGTTGAGTGAAATCATAATGGCATTTTAACTCCCGAGGAATGCCTAAAACTGTTCATGTACCAGTGGCATCATCAAATACATAGAGAGAAGTTTTCATCACTGCAGATCACCGCCTCGGCCAAGCCATGCAGCGGAACCGGAACGTACCCCTGATACGGCTGAGGAGACTGGTGTCGACACCTGCAGCAATGAGTAAAACCTTTATGAATCCACCTAAGTAATGACAAATGAAGGGTATGCATAGATAGCCAATCTATTAAATCTTAAAAACATGTTTTGTAACCTTCTTCATGTTCTAGCACATTTGGAGAAAGTGCCTAATGTTTTGACACCAGATTCTGCTGCATGCAATTGTAACACTTTATAAGTTGTATAATAATACTGCCTCCTTCTGCAGTGATGCTTCAGCAACCACCTCAAGAGAGCAGCCACCATCAAAACGGTGTGTAAACGAAAAAATTATTTTAGGTACTCCTGGCAAGAGATCACAATCACAACTTTTCGAAAAGGATCTCTTTCTGTACATTTAAGCAATATGTATAATTCACTGCAGGTCACGCTCGTCAAGACGACAACGGACCTGCGAGGGCGCTAGGTGAGATATACCGCTGACTCTTAGAGGATAAACTTGCAGATTTTTTTCTAACAATCCTGCGCATGCTACAAAATACAAAACTTTATAAGGTTAACGCTCGGTCAAGTTGGTACACAGACATAGTAACTAAAAAGAGTGTGAGAACGACAAGGTAGAAACAGAAAAAACAGGATAGAGCACTGACTTTAAACTGATGTTTTTATTGTGGGCACATTTATACTAAGGCAGACAGAACCCATGTAACTACCGTAATATTTAGGCATTAATATCAGAACATCAGCACCCTGTCCCAAAACACGAGTGTCCGTTTCAAAGATCAAAAGCCCATTTATTTCTCACAGAGAGGTAGACGCCCTATTGACACATTTATCTTTTAAGTGTGCTATTTAATTTGCTTCAGTTCCTCTATATTTTTTTCTTTCTTAGTGCCGAAAAGCACAAACATCAGTTGAAAGTCAGTGCTCTGTCTTGTTTCTTCTGTTTCTACCTTGTCGTTCTCACACAGTTTTTTTTTGCTAAATGGTGCTTCACGAAGTAACAGTGCAACTTTAAAGCATTCATATGCATGAATCGCAGATCACACTTGCTTTGCAGCAATGCAGGAGAGGGCACAAGCCATGAAGCTGTGGCGCAAGCGTGCATGGAGCACCTTGAACACATCAGAGCGAACAAGGGGGTCATCAAAAAAGATAACATTGGTTTCTTCGCTCTACGTACCGATGCACGCCTCAGAGAGCTACCAGTGCACATTGCACAAGATGTAATGCATGCAGTAGAACTTATGCTGTGTGAAGCAGAGGCGAAATTGCATCAGAGCAGTGAAGCAAATTGAAGTGTTTATATAATGTCAATGACACCCATCTTTTTTTATCTTGTGTTCACTTTTCTAGTCTCAACTTAAAGGGGTCATGACTGGTCACTCAACAATTGACGGTTGTCAGCAAAAAACAAAACTACAGAGTAAAATGTGCTAGTACACGTGTGAAAAGGGGCCTTAAGAGATCATTTTAATCAAAAATATGCCGTAGAAGTGCTCGGCTCCTAAAACTCAACCTACCACAAGTGACCGCCATTTTGTCATGGCATGCGAGACGTCACAAGCCGAAGGAGCAGTGGCAAATGGTATACGCATTGCACATTCACAGGACCCATTTTGACATCCGAAATTATTTGCTGCATGTACCAGCGCTACATTGCTGACACAGTAGCCATGTTTCGACCCCTGGAAGTCATTTAGGTTTAGTGGAGAGTTCAACAATGCGAAAAAATTTGATTGCAAGCGCAGTTGATGACGGAACACGACCGTCTGCCAGATTGCACACTGTGCAGCAGCTTGACGAGCAAGCGGTTCGTGATGTCATGGATAGTGAGTGCGTCAGTATTGCCCAACTGTCAGGCGACTAGCTCGTTTATAAAAATATGCGATTAAAAATTAGCAGCTTGACCAAATCGCTTGAATTTTGCCAGCTTGTATGTGAACATACAAGAATCAGCTCATACAACACACATTATGGTTGAAAATTGGGTGTCATGACCCCTTTAGGGCAACTTATTTCTGTGATAATTGTAGTGATAACCGTGCAATAACCCAAATATTTTAACATGAATTATTTATTTTTGTGTTTTCATGATTATATTTGGACATGACAGTTTTCCCTGTAATGTATCTGTTGTGTCACGGGTAATTTTTCTCTTGTTTGTTTAGCTTAAGAAGATGCTATGTACATAAGTTCTGTAAGCAATAAAATGCATTTACAACCCACCTTCACCTTGTACGCCTCAAGTGCTGTTCACCACTTTGTCCTGCCAAGGCACCTGACCGTCTGTGACGAAGTAGTGCGCCAATTTATCTCGCACTTCCTTGGCATACCTAAAACGCATAAGTGCCATGTGAAATTTCTGTCGGCACAGCCATGATGGAAGACACACACTGTAAAAGGAGCATGCTGAGCTTGAAAATCTCACGCATAGTTGCATTTCAGTGTCATAGTCATGACGCTACATTGCCAAAGTGTTCCTCATTTTATGTAATAATGAGTGCTACCTCTGCTGTCTATTTTCTACGGCATCATCACAGCTTCTGATAGAATGCATATTTACTGACTAACTTTAGAAATTTCGATATGTCAAGTTCCATGACAGCCAAGGTCAGCAACTGCTCGCATTTGGACAAAACCATTGTGCACTTTTGAGAGAACGATTGCGCTGTACAGTTAAACCTAATTAGGGCTGGTGCACACCGGCAACTAGGAGCGGTCGCGCGACCATTTGCGACTGGTCGCGAACAGTAGCACTGCTTGTGCACTCCGCAAGCTGTCGTATATGCAGTGAATATTTCTGTGCCTACACATTTTGGCGAATCATAAGCATGCATCAACCTTTTCATGGAAGAGCGTACGTGCTCATATCACTCAGGTTGAAGAAGGGCAACCTAAACGTACCTGTAGCAATTTGCTTAGCATGGATTTCTGAAAAGCTGTAAATTCAAGGAGGACCTATTTCGCAAAACGTACATCACTCAAGTCTATTGTTTAAATTGCTTTCACACAATGTGCTACCGTCCACAATATGTATTGCCACTGCGCTACTGTCCACAGTGTATTGTGTCACTGTCAATTTAACAGAACATACGTAAAATTGTAGCAAGGTGCAGGGGTTAAACACTGGTCATGTTTGTGAGAAATTTCGCATGTGTACTTGTGCAAACACACACCGTCGTGCATGCAGATACATAAAGGGTGGTTGGTTGAACCTCCTCCCTCCTCGATGCTGAAAAATATTTTTGGCATGAATACTCTTTGAGTGCCTTGAACAGCACATCAATTTGTCCTAAAAATTTGTGCATAATTGTACTCGCAAAGCTGAGGATTGTGTTTCACTTATTTTATAACATCATAATTGTGCTCTATATAGTACCTGTGCATCAGGATAACAGAAAACGGGAACTGACACGTCCACAATGTAATGTCATTGTGTAGCGCAGAATCCCATTTTCTGTGATTTTACAAGCGGAAACCACGTACTGATTACGCAATAAGCCACAACAGATGGTTTGAAATATTCACCACCTGAGATTCTTAACGTACGTGCGCAACAAACGCGCCAACTTAAGTGCATTTCGCCTCCACCTAAAGGCGATCGATGCGGCCGTAATCAAACCCCTCATTTACACCTAAACTGCCGACCGCAGTAACGACTGCACCATCGAGCCCGCATACGTCATAAATGCAATTCGTTCTATCCGCCCAAGCGAAACTTCCTTACAAGCGAAGCGCAGCCACAAGCCACAGCATATTAATCTTCAAACCACACGCTCTTACCTAATGGTCATGGCCAGGCAGTCGTGCGCCGAAATTGTAGGCCGGTGGTTTGTGTCCTGCTTGGATATTGCTGGGCGCAGCAGTTCGAGCAAAGTGTCGAACGTTCGTGGCGGCATCCGCATGAAGCTAACCACCAAAAAAAGAATGAGATAACATGTTATGCACTATCTTATAAGCACGTAAAACAACCATAAACTTACTCTCGGAAATACTCCTCGTCGTGCGAGCGCAAGTCGGGAAGCAGACGCCCTGTGTGGCCAGCCACTTCTCGCGAGCGAAGGGACGGTCTCACCCACCACCGCCTTGCTTGCTTTGAACGTTTTCGTGCTGCCAGCGCTGACACGTTGGCTGAGCACATCAGCACCGCCACAACCTCTTCTTCATCACTCGACTCGAAGTCTATGATGCTGCCGGGAGAACGCTACGCAAACACAGCCGTCAAAAACAAACGCATCGCGCTCAGCGGGCTCCGTATCTGATCAGCTGATCGTCGCCGGTCGCCCAAGTTCTCGTTGATAACGAGATCTGTACGTGACTCTCCGGGTTTGCGACCATGACCTACTACACTCCTGACCTGTTCAGATAGCGGGGTTCCTATGGGAGCGCGTGTCCCCGCTCTCGTTCAATCGCTCGCCGTAGGTGGCGCTACCTATAACCTGTTCGTCTGCTACTTTACGGCTGTTTGGACGGCGCTAGAGTAAGAACGGCTGCATTCCGTGATGAACAGCCGGCATATATGTGACTATTTTTTCACTTAGATGACTGGTCAAGTAAGCTGTTCAGTGTGACGAAAAATTTATTGCACACTGGTGGACAAATGCGAGAATCCGTAGACTTACATAGTGTAGGACAGCATATGTGATGTTGCGTCCATTTAATTGCAAAGAATTTGTGAATGACTTTTGAAATATTTGTTTCAAAATTATTTTTCATTAGTGCATAATAATTACGCAATATGAGTGCTCTGTTGGCCGAAATATGACCACGAACACTCAAGCTGACGTCAGCGAACAGGTGCTGACTAGCGCCACAGTGCTCCTAAGTTACGGCCCTAGCGGCAGAAGGTATGAACTAGAACGTGGGCGCTGGAAGAGGTGCTCTCTGGGCAGGTCAGGAGTGTAGTAGGTCATGTTTGCGACTTCCGGTCGCTCGCATGAATCCTTGCCGGTGTGAACGTCGCTCGCAGTTTGGTCGCCAGTCGCAAATGGTCGCGCGACCGCGGCTAGTCGCCGGTGTGCACCAACCTTTAGGCGACAAGCATTCATGTGCCTAATGCTCTCTCTCATTGCTATACAGTGTATTCTATATTGCTGTTCTATTGCTATATAGTACAAAAAAAAAACACCAGGCCTGCGCGCACCACGCGGCACAGTCACAGCAAAAGCACAGTCACCCACAGCGCCACACATAATCATAAATTTTGTGTAGTAGTTAATTGGTTTATTGGTTCCTCAACAGCTGGGTGCAATCCACCCAGGAGCATAGGCCATAAATCGGACGATGCCTTACTTTTTAAACTAATTCACTTCTTGAATGAAAGCGTTGAATTCATTAGGTATAATGAAAAACATGCAAAGTCGTTAAGGTTTTAGGATTTCAAAACAAAAAAACTTTGAAAAGAATGACATAATAAACACAAACACACACACAAACACGCGCACGCACACACACACACCACCCAACAAAAAAGTCGACGCCTAAAACAACTGAATTTATTTACGTTTAGCATTAATTCTATTAGACGTTTTTAAAAAATTTGTAACAGCAGTAAAGACGCTCCTGTGACTAAAACCAAATGCGATATTGTGCCAAATAAAAAAAATAACTGGAAGTGACAAGTTTAAGTCCTACTTTTGTAGGGGTTCTTCTAGAAGTCTTTTTTTTTTACATTTAAATCTTCGGCATTCAAAAACAAAAAGCTCCACAGAATAACTCTCGTTAGAGTGAAGGCATAAAGGCGACTGTGCCAGACTCGACCTGTCAAGATAACAGTTCAATGAAGGAACTCGACAACGCAGCCTTGTAATCCTTATTTACTCCTTTCATGATGAACACCACCAGTTCTTCCAAAAAAACTTTAGCTGTGATTATTCTTATAAAAACAAAGGAAAATTTTCGAAGTTGTTGGCCGCTGTACGTTTTTCAAAACGTGATGCTGTGATATATTCAGACGTAGGCGAAGTAGGCAGAAAAGAACCATCAAGGAAAGATATAGCTAGTACATCTGCATGCTCATTGAGAGCTAAACCTCTATTGCCTGGTACCCAGACTAGTCGAACGAGTCCCACATATCTAGGGATGAGGGAGTAGAAAGTATCTAAAATACGCGCTTGAGACAGCAAAGAGAGAAAGACATCCTATTGGAACAATCACCGCTGATAGACCTTGGCGCAATTTACGCAATGCTGAGACTATTGCCAGTAGCTCAGCTTGGTAGATAATAGGCCAGCATTCATTTTGCTAGAGCCTCCGTCATTTTTTTGGAGAAGCGTGGTATCCGCTACACACTTGTAAGAGATTTTTTCTAATTTTTCTGCAGTGTGCTGACGACGATGAAGAAATATTCCGGAAGTGAGTATGCGCCACAGATAATAGGTGATCAAGAAAAAGTTTTCTTAAAAGGTTGAAACATTGCACGATCCAGTCGTTATGCACTTAGCATAGTGTGAAGCCTGACTCTTTCTTTGATGTACTAGAACGCCTTATTACTCATATAAACGCGATTCTTTTGCTGAAATCAAGCCTGCCTAAGGCCAGTTTAGAAACAAATTCGAAGCACTGGCGTAGCTCAGTGGTAGAATACTGGGCTGGCACGCAGCGGACCCGGATGTCATTGCTGTTTTTTATTTAACGAGTTTTTTCGTTCGATTTTGCCTACGGACACCGGCGGTGGCGGACAACTGCGGCGCCGCGCATGATCAGTGTTCTAATCACATAACGACTTTCGCTGTAAAAAGCTCAAGGACAAAGCTACTCGAATTATTTGTCATGGTTTACCGCTTCAAAACAACCATATGTATATGAGAGAAAACGTACACTATAAAAAAAGGGAGCGAGAACGAAGAAACGGGCTCCGTTTCTCCTTTGGCGCAGCGACTTTCTCTCTTTCGGGCACTTTACCCGTCGCACCCTCTAGCGGCAAGAACTAAAGGTGTAACGTTCCTCCTTCGGTGTTCAAGCTGCTCCTCAATCACGAGGGTCTTGCGCGCGCGCATGTGCATGCTGAGCCTAGCCGGCAGCGGCCAGTCGCGAGCGATTACTTTTACCTAAGATTGATGCAAGCAATGCAGGAGTGACTTTTTCGTTTTATTGGTGTAGAGTAAAAGCCTCTTTTTTAATCGCAAGGCACTCGCACGATGCTCCGCACACTTCTGTGTGTGTCTCGTATTGTTTCATACACTCTAAGGCAAAAAGGTGTTAAAAGCGTGTGTGGTTCGTCCTTTTGGGGACTAATGGGGCTGCCACAACCATTAATCCCTTTAAAGACTAATGGCACCGGGTCTAACAGTTAGTCGCCACAGAGGAACTCAAGGGACTAACATTTAGTCATCACACTTATACCTTAGTGAGTAACCGTTAGTCTAACAATTCACCTCAAAAGACTAACATTTAGTCATCACATTTACATCTTATAGAGCAACTGTTAATCTCTACATTTACACCTTACCTGGCAACCATTAGTCCTCACAGCTGCACCTTGATGGACAAACGGTTGATCTACTCAAATACTCCAATCGGATGAATTTTTTGTCCCCAGTTCAAACATAGTTTTTGTTTATTTTCGACCGGGCCTAATACTTTTTTCGCCTGCTTTTCTGCGCAGTAAGCAACAAATTGCGCTGACAAGAACCCACGAAAAAGTAGTTAGCCACCTATGTGTAACTGCTTTCGCAGCCACGGCAAGAACGAACGACAAAAGTGAGAAATGGAAATATTTTATTTTTCTAGATACACATGAAGTTTCTCCATTCTTTTAAGTGAATTCATGGCGAAGTGTGCAAGTCCAGTCTCGTTGTCAAATCTTGTTCACTCCTTGCAGAGCTCCACCGACGGAAGCGATAGATCACAGGCATTGCAGACGCCAGCGCACGCAGCCTTCAGCCTGTTGTGTTCCCACGGCTGCACGCACAATAATTAGTAAAAATAGTTAGACACACGTGACAGAAGATGAAGATGCACGCATATGACAAATACGTGCGCGTAAATATAAAACAAGCGTTAAAATATGACACACAAATAAATTTACCTTCACATCTCGCACGGTCCTTCTGAAGCTACTCTGACGAAAGAGATGGATGACAGGCGCCCCCGACGCCAGCGCACATAGTCTTCAGCGCGCTGTGCGCCCACGGCTGCACAAAAATTATGTAAAACAGTGAGTCACACATGACTGAGGATGAATACAAATGCATATGAGAAATACGTGCAAGGTAAAATGAAAACATACGTGAGATATGCCATGCTAATAATTTCATCGTGATGTCACACATCGTCAAAGACTCACTTCGATCCCCGTAGCGCAACAGCTTAGGAGCGGCGGCTGCAGCCACAACTCCGTGAACCTCCGTGCCGCTAACAAGTCGGCGAGTCCTGAGCGAGCGACGTCGTTCAGCTCGAGCAAGCGAACGCGAGACCAAACACGGCGTTGCACGCGGAGTGTCTGCCGCCAGCGAACTTCGAACAGGAGAGCCAGCGTACGCTTGGCCGCCCCCACGAACAGCGCCGAGCTGATTTGGAGCTAGCGCCGAAGAAATCGACGGTAATGCGGCCCTTTTCCACAAACTCGAGCGAGTGCAGCGCGCAAACGCGAGTCCGGCGCCGCGGCCAGCGGACGGCGCCGAGCTGCTTGCGACCGACTGTAATGGCGACCAATTTTCAGTAAGTTCCGACGCTAGCGAAAGCCCCACCAGCCCGTGCTGGTGCACTTACAGCGCGCGACATACTACAACCAAGCTTTTTACGAGAACCCGCAACGTGTTTTCGACGACTGCCAACACAGCGACGAGGTCTCAGCCCAATATCGTCAGCCCGAAGCTCATCGCGGCGGCGAAGACAGGCGAGCACTCGATGAGCGATCGTACGGGAGGCTGACAGCGAACGCGGCCAATTTCCAGGCGGTCGCAAAGCACAGGCAAACTGCAGACGCCGAAGCTAACCTTTGTGATGCATTTTGTGCGTGCGATATACAACACGACCAAGCCCGTTGTCGGCAAGCGTGATCCGTACCGCACACGCGGCAAGTAGAGTAGACTAAAGAATGATAACCTACTTGCCTTAGAATCCAGCGCTGTTTTCTGCCCTGAGTCGGACTGAAGTATATATCAGATAGGCCTGTTATCTTCTCGTCCGCCATATTGGCCTTCCCAACTGTTGCTGTCGTGTGTTGGTCGTGGCTATCTTGAAACCAGAGACCAGAGATGTACAGCGCAGCGTGGTGACGTGTCGAGACTTGCTCTAGACTTCATGGGTGCAGCTAAACGCAAAAGCAGCAGCCCACGCTCATCCAAGCGATGTTAGGGATGGGAAGGAAGGGCGCTCGAG